TTAGTAAGTAGGGTTATAACTACGGTAACTATACTTATAGTTACTTATAACCCCAACTGGGGGACTTATACTAAGTCCCATGATCCTCCGGTGTTGTCTCGGTGTTTTCGACGGCTTTGTAGGGATCTCAGAGGGCTTTTTTAGGGTCTTCGAGAGTTGGATGTTCATTACATAATCTGGAGGTTTTTCAGGATGTTGGCTTTGGGCCTTTAGGGCGTTTGGGTCTTGTTTGGTTGTGCCCGAAGCTTGCAAGCTCCAAGCAGACAAACACGGGTTTTTGTTTAAATCCTACTCTGTGGTATCAAGGTCGACAAAATTATACATATTGAGGGCTATTTGGAGTGTTGCGGTTACAGTATATTGCGGCGATGTAGACCACTGACTAATCAATCCCCTTCTTGTAAGGGCCTTCACACGAGGATCCAGTATAACTGTTGATGATAAAAGCCATACATTACCTTAAGGATCCAAAACTATGGGACTTATGGTAAAATCCTTATTATGAGTACTGCAGGATTTATATCATCAACCGAATAGCATCTTTTAAGGTAAGGGCCTGTGTCAATGAAGACTCTACATCAGGGCTTATGAGGCTTAGGGCTTATCAGGTAGCCCTGACTTATAAACGTAAATGTCCGTAAGCTCTACTTACCTAAGTCCCCCAAAGTCGGTAAGTTAATGGCCCAACACCTACAAAAGGCTAGTGTTCCACATATTTGTGGGGTCCAGGTAAGCCATACTTAAAGGATCATGGGACTTAGTAAGTAGATAGTTGAGATAACTATACTTATAACCCCAAGTAGGGGACTTATCACCTTACTTACTAAGTCCCATGATCCTCCAAGTATGGCTACTGTACTTCGGGTCCTGAAGCGACAGAGATGCTGGGTTGCGGGTTTCGGGGTGAAAGGCCCTCTCTGCGCAATGTTCTTCAAAGCTCTTATAACGGTGAAAAAAAAGGAAGCGCTTAGAGTTACATTCTACGAAACCCTAACCCAAGGTTGCTCGAGGCCTGTGCGGAGATAGACTTTGTCGACATCTGGGGCTGGACGGCGCTAATGCAGGCAGCTGGATCTCTGTCTCTCTCTCTCTCTGTCTGTGTCTCTGTGTGTTTGTTTTTATATAGGTGTGTCGTATGAGACACATAGGTGGAACTGCCAAGTTGTTCTTATTATTCGTTCATTTGCGCACAGATCTGTATGTGTATATCCAGAAATTGCCGAGAGTTACCTTTGTACATATAAAAACTCATGTATCTACATACAAATAAACAGATATATATATATATACACATATACACAGATATATGCATATATATATATATATGTAACTATCGCCATGTACGTATGTCTGTATGCACGAATAGTTGGCTGTATGTGTGCATGTGTGTCTGCATGTCCGTATGTAGGCATGTACGTATGATTATGAATGTATGCATGCATGTATCATGTTTGTCGGTATGTCTGTCTGTCTGTATGTATGTATGTATGTATGTATGTATTTGTTTATGTATGTATTGCGAGTGTGTGTGTATATATATGTACATGTGAAAAATATATTCATATATATATATATATATATGTGTGTGTGTGTGTACGTGCGCATAGGTGCATATACGAATATGGCTCATTAGTTCGGTTCTCAGTTCTCGGCTATTCCGACAGAGACTTTCAACAAACCAAACCAGACAGAACGCCGTGCTCGAGAAAGAGAGAGAGAGAGAGAGAGAGACAGAAGCCTAAGGGCCCATGTGCCTGTGTAGTATAGGTACTTACAGGTACTTACAGATGCGTAAAGGTACCTGATAGGCACTTCAGAGCCCAATGTTCACTACAAGAGAACGCGGACCCTTAAACGCAAACATCCGGATGCAAGCACATGCGAACACACTGACATACAGAGACAGTCACACATGTCCTTCCTCGTGTGTAAAGTGCATTGTACACAGGCCTGTTCATGCACACGCGCTGCGTTGGTTCTTCCGTGTGTTCGGACGCCGACTGCATTGGTTCGATGTACGCAGAAACTTCGTGGTTAAGTCTGGTGATCGTGTTTCGTAGCTGCGATTAAATAGTTGCATGACAGTTTTGCAATGTTCCAGGCGTCGCTCTACAGCCGCGTGGACGTCGTGCGCTTGCTGCTGCAGGCAGGCGCTGAAGCAAATGTGATTGATGAAGATGGCACGACAGCCTTGATGCTGGCATCGATGCCACTGGCCTTAGCGTGTGCATGAAGAAACCTAGAAGCCCAAATGCCAGAATAGTGGCACTTACTAGACATATAGGATGTGTTTGTACACATACGTACTATATGTATGTATATATATATATATTTATGTGTATGTTTACATATATACGTACATGTGAAACAGATGTACAACTGTAGTATAAAGGGCCTACGAGTACTCTTGAAATTGATTTCTGCATGTCTTGCCGGTCTTCAACTGCAAGCCCTAGAGCCCCTGAACCCCTCGACCCCTAAACCCGCCCACTAAACCCCTAAAGGGGGTTTAGGGTTTAGGGTTGTCAAGTTGTAAACCCCACAGACATTATGCAGGGTTTTCTGTTGCTTCTTGGGCTCTCACCTAGAAGCCCGTCTGAATCTTGCATCCGGTTTTACTCATCCTTGGCAGACCCTAAACCCTAAGCCCTAAACCCTAAACCTTTCCCAGTAGACTCGTATCTTGTGCTTACAGTGGGATCCGGTTATGTTTCTGATTTCCGGTGTGCCTTTTTGCAGTCTAAAGGTTTGTGTTTACGGTTAAGGGTTTAATACAGGGGCTTTAACAATCACCTACATTATTGTGGGGGTTCCTTCTTATAGAATATAGTATAATGGGCCCCAGAACCCTATTCTAATTATTAAGGCCCCTACACCCTAAACCCTTATAGTAGCCCTTATATTAAAGGAACCCTTTAAAGGAGCCCTAAACCCTAAACCCTAAACCCTAAACCCTATTCTATTAAAGTCCCTACATTCGGATTTTGCTGCGGCTTCCAGAGTTCAGGCATAACCCCAAATGGGTTTGAGTAAACCGGGAGGCTATGAAGATTTCAGATCTGGTGGGCCTATATATATATATATAGATACACATATATCTGTATATATATATATAGATACGAATTCCCCTACACGCGAAGTGTCTAGAGGAGTTCGTCTGGGTCCTTAGACGACCAGTAGGTTTGGGTAGGTTAAGGTAGGGTTTGGGGTTCTGGGTCTAGTGTGAGTGCACCCCTAAACCCTAAACCCAAACCGCAAAGAGGGAGGGTCTAGGGCTCAGGGCCTTTAGGGTCTAGAGTTGAGGGTTTAGGAGCCTAGGAGTTTAGGGTCCAGGGATGAGGGTTTAGGGTGGTGTCCATGAGGTCTTCTCCTGAACACCCTAAACCCTGAAAGCGGTAGCAA